AATGCACCCAACGATACTTAAAACACAATACTCGACATATGTAGCACGCACTTACACGTAAAAGCCAAGGTATGCAAGATTTAAGAAACGCTGTGCCAGTGCTCGTGATTAGTTACGTTTATCAGTGACATTTAAGCTATTAAAAACAAAACATACTGAAACAAGGTACTACTATGGAAAGAATAGGTAATAACTGTAAGCACATAACTACAAACTACTTCAGTCGATAATTGATCAGAGTGACCGAAAAGTAGTATCAATATTATCATGTATTTAACATGACTTATTACTGGACTGTTTGGAATTTGTTTTGAGTATGGTTTTCACGTACACTTACCTCCCTATCAGAAACTGGAGTCATATTTTGAACAAGAATGAAAAATACCAACTATTGCTTAGCATTTCCTGACACGAAACTGCTCTCAAAATTACTTTCTGGTCACTCTGTGCAATCAATACAAGGTAAACATTAACGCAACAAATGCAAACGACACGATCTGACTTAAACAATAAATCATCCATTTCGTGCAAAATCGATTTATCTCGCTCGTTTATGAGTCAAGGTAAGTGTAGCTAGCAGCTTCTGTTCACAAAACCTGCAAATTCATTGGGTCTATTACCATTCTTTAACAAACCACCTACTAGCAATATCCTGGCCAAGAGGCTATGCTCCGATATTATTATACTAGGACAAGATATGGAAGGGCCACTTTCAAACAATGATAACGTTATATTTAATTTGCAAAAACTCGAAATACTTTATACACATAATTTTATAGCACAGATATTTTGTGACAAGGGGTAACTATACATAATCACCAAATTATTTCATGGAATACATATTTTCTCAATTCAGAGGCAACGAATGCTAGAAAATTTATCATAATGGCCTGGAATAATCCTGACCTCACATAATTTTACTACGACCCATTTCTTAATATTACGATGATACAATGATATATATGACAACTACATTTTATTGCAGTAACTACCAGGATATTTTGCAGTTATCATGGAAATGATCTACAAGTACATGGTGGCATTCGTTACTTCGAATTCATTCTCACCGATACTCACAAAGACGAAGTACTTGTGACCGATCCGTGCACATGACTATGACGTCTGAACACACATTACACGGTATAAGATTTTCCATGCAAAATATCCTAATTCATAAATTGCCTTTCCAGTGAATAAATGTAATAGTCCTGAAGAGGTTAAAGTATATCTGTGGAATGAACATTCGTTTACTGACAGGAAGTACAAAGGGATCTGTATGTGAGAGAAGGTTTCCTGTGGCCCTACTCAGACACTAAACATTGCAGGATTCAACACCAAATCCCTACTCCTAAGACTTCACCAATCTCATTTAGTATTAAGATAAAAATTTGCTACTAGAATTAACAATAGGCCTTTTTTTTGCATATCCTTCATGCATATCAACAACAGCCACTTCAATCCAATTTCAAGGTCAATCTTTCCGCACCGAGCCAGTTTCCATTCTCTTCCTTTGGTCCACACCACCAGCTTTCAAATTTTGGCAAAAATCATATACCACCGTCTTGATATATTATTGGTCTGGTCTGCACAAATGACCGAAAGATCATAAATCCAAATAACAGACCTTACACATATAATTACCAAGACAATTTCGCTACCTTTGTTTCCAATCTAGGCCCTTACATTCTATAATACACACTTTCACAATGCAAACATTTCTTTTCTCTTTTGTTGTACTACGACCTTATGCTTCAGACAGCATATTAATTTAATTTAACATTTCTTTTCTCTTTTGTTGTACTATGACCTTATGCTTCATACAGCATATTAATTTAATTCTATACAAGATCTTAGGAAACGTTTGCAATGCACATATCTTTTGAAATCAATGTAAAATCATCATCCTCTTTTTAAGCACCAAACAGCTCTTTATCACACTAACTTACCAAAACACAAACTCTTTTGTAAAATTTCCGCTCATTTCTACGTAATTTATAAAAAAAAAAAAACTTAGGCCATCATGAAATGCGACAAGACGACGGCACGGCTGGCGTACCTTCCCCACAACCCACATACATTTTGTATTCTCCCCTCCCCATTAAACTCATATCCTAATATCAATCACACTACAAAAATTATTTTTATGAAATAATTCAAAATAAACCAAGGTCATTACGGTAACAAAACTACCAACCTAACGACGTATAACTGATTACATCATCATGTTATAATCTGTAAGAAATGGACCAGAAGTTGATAAGCCCATTTACATAGGAGTAAGTGGCTCAGTTGAAAGCACATCTTGTAACAAACAGTAATATATGTACTGGTTCTAGTGTTAAGCTATAAAGCAGTTATTTAGTGACAATTACAATGCCACCATTATTAGATAATACGTAACAAATGACCAGCCACACGCTGGTGAAAATTTTTGTTTTAATTGATATAATTCTCCAGGTAGCGAAGTAATATATTCCTATATTTAAACACCACAGGTGGATACATCGAGGGTCAAAGAAACTGAGCCCACGGCTATGAGATCCATTTATAAGACACATTAAAATAAACTATGAATGAAAAGTAAATTTCTATGACCTCAGTGGATGCTGATAATATTAATCAATACATCACATTAATAAGTGTCATGTATTTCATTACTGACATTCTCCATCATATCAGATGAATATAAAATTGTAATTCCTTATCATGCGAAGTCTTACATAACTACAAATGTATTTTTCAAAGTGTATTATTGTGCGTTAAGTATTCACTGTTTGTAGAAGAGAACTTCATAAAATTTTACTGCTAAAACCACAAGAGATGGGAAGGAAACCATTCATAAGAAAATGCCATAGAAGTCACTAGTAATTTTATTTCTGTTATTGTAAACCACGTAAAGATTTGTCTTACCAGCACTCGAAATTTCAAATTATAAAACACACTGCAAATCAGCCCTAAAACTTTGACGAAAAAATTGCAATTTCTATGACAGCTCGTGTGTCCTGCGTGCCGCTCAGTTTCTGTCCCACAGTAACCACGCTCACTTATAACACATCAAACACGCAGACGTGCAACTGTAACGCATCTCGTCAAATTTTACTTTAGTCAATCCACCAAATAATTGGCAGAGGTATATGAATGTAGGCAGGATGGTCGGTTCCACCAAACTTCAGCTCAACCAGCGATCTAAATCAAGTCCCATTCCGTTCCTTTTCTAAGTTTTGCAGATACTGTACGAATACTAGCAGGAGAAATGTTCACAGCCATAAAAACCTGCTAAGTTTCTAAGGTTGTAATTATGATCACAATAAGCAAAAATCCTGTAACATACTGAAACAACAGCAGTCAGTAAGAATACAATTCTGGTATTCATTCACTGAAACCATATTATTAAGTATCGGCATCGGACAATGTTGCAATGAAATCAATTTTTAATAAGTCAATATAACCTATATCAATATCCAATGGCTATATTTCGTATTACTCAGGTTCGATACCAAAGAGTTATCGAAAGTGAGAGCGAATGAGTGAACCCTGCAATTAAAATAGCCACTGATGAGCCATTCTTACAGAACGACTGTTCATTTCATAATGGAATTTGTTTCTCGTAGCAAAGACGTAGGATACATTTTAGATATATATTATATACACACACATAATTGACTCTACCTATTGCACTTTTGAAATGGTGGAACCGGCCACGAGTGACAGCCGGTCAGACTGTATGCCCCACAAACAAATAAGCTCCATACCGATTGAAAATCAAACACAACACGAAATTACTTCAAATCATTCAGATTCAAGGGCTTAGCTGCAGTCAGTATTGCAGATCGAAGAGGCATTACGAGGACTTATTTATTGCACATTTTAAGGGAAAGAAAATATTTTAGATTTCTCAGACTCCTTATAAATTCAAAAATTATTCTCATTATTTTTCTACTGGTTTCTAACCAGTATTATAGATATATAAAGAATTTGTTTATTATCTTTAATCTGTACTTCCAAAATGAAACAAATTCTGATGTCATGGGTAGGGTGACCAACATAATCGTCCCACATATTCAGAATACAAAGAACTGCTACAACAAATATTTGCATAAATAAAAATCTCTCTCCCATGAATTATAATTATAATAGAAAATTAAATATTTAATTACATGTTTATCTTAACGTCATTGCCAATTCATGAAAATTAGAATAAATATAGAATAGAATCTCTAGTGCCATAAGACAGTAAGTATACTTTAATTGAATATACAAAGACAATTTCTCATTTCTGATATGTTGCCTAAGAAATAAGCTGCAATATTGACTTTAACCAATACCCTTAGGGTACAGGTCCACAACATTTGATGAATGGAACTTCATATTCATTACACAAGTTTTAACTTAGAATAAACGGCATCACCGCCTTCTTTGTTAACAACAATTATATATGGAAAATGAGGTGATGTTTTTGTACATCGGTTTTCATGTTTAAAAAGGCTTTTTTTTTAGTAATAAAGATGTTTGTACGCAAATTAATCACTTCGAGTGATCGATCTAAATGGTAGAGATCTCCACCAAGGCAGTGACCAGACGCTACTACAGAAGAGGAGACAACGAATTTTACGCCACTCACCCACTGACTTTCTAAAATGTTAAAAATCATTTTCTCTATGGAAAGAAAAAGAGACGTAAATTTGAAAAATTTATTGATAGTGGTCTTGTGGACTAAGATTTCTGTGTAGTCTTATCGGCAGATGCCAAAACATTCTGGAGATTAACACAGAATGCTCCTTTGAAACGTTTGTAACCGCCTACAAGATTACACAGAAGACCACAATCAAGTTATTCACGACTGTGAGAACCTCAAAACTTTGATTAAACATTATGACTGAATATCATAAATACTTTGATTTACATCATCACGTAAAACAGACCGAAATGTAAAATGAATGTGTAACATCAGAAATGAATGCAGGGTCCTGTACAGAATATATAGTAACTAGACTATTGATTACTTACGGAGTCACATTTTATATTCAAGTGACTGCCTGTTCCGCAGTTAAAAGAACATAAATGGAGATAAACTGAGCTGAAGTTATCATCCAAGTATGGGATTAAACCTGTTTGTCTCTAACCGATACACAGATATTCAGAGATAAAAGAGTGGTGTTTTATCATTGAAAATATCTAGAAACTCTCCAAGTTTATGTTTGTATACTTCGCGGCCGCGTAGTAACACTGTTCGCCGCCAGGGGCGATATGAGAAAAAATGGCTGCCATCGAAGACGGGAGCCTTTTGTGTACTGGATTTCCACGTTCACCGGACCTGACGCTCTGTATTTTTTCCTGTGGGGGTTCGTCAAAGATAGAGTATTCGTGCCACCCTTACCACAGACCTTGCTTGATCTGCGAGCGCGTATCACAGCAGCCACTGCAGCAATCTATCATGATATGCTGCAACGTGTCTGGGAGGAACTCGAGTAAAGGTTGGATGTGTGCCGAGTTACCAAGGGGGTTCACATTGAACACCTACGATGTACTGAAACAAAACTTGGAGAGTTTCTCTATCCATCGGTATCAATTTTGTACATCTGAATTTCATTAAACGTGAGTAGCAAGTCTGTCAAATCGGAAACATCATTTAGATTTGCCCTGTATAACTATGGATGAGAATTTCTGATATAAAATAAAATATTTCATACTTCAAAACCATGGATTCTTTGCATCATGAGAATTTTTGTGAGCAGTGGACATGTTTTCCAGAACTTTGAACATCCTCATATAAAATTTGCATCTATCACCTGCTTTGGTGGAACTTGCCGAAATTTCTTTTACTATGACGAGGATTTCTTTGTGAAAGTGAGAAACTGTTTCACTACCATTTAGAGATTGCTTGCTATTCTGATGCCGAGTCTAACGCTATACAACTGTAACGTTCACACTGTGGCATTATTTATTTGGCATATTCTACGTGTTACGGATTTCTTCTAAAGAAAAACGTGTTTATTTATGGTGGAGAGTATAACTGATTTTACTTGTACTGAAACACAAAAACATTCAGTAACATGATTAAACTTGATGTCTATAATGTCTGTAGACTACTGAATTCATTTTTAATTTGCATTTGAACTCTCAAAATGCAATAATACAAATCCAAGTTACAGAATAAATCTATCTTTAATAATTAACATTTAGGAAGTCATTTGAGCGCTGCATTTATCTTAGTGTCAAAAGTGCAAATATTATATATGCAATTTATGCACCCATATAAACATATCTAATACACTGATTCTAGTCTTATCGTTATAATGGCAAATACTTAAAAACAGTAAAAATTCCATTAATATTTTCTCTTTGAACCACAACCAGACACAAAAGAGTATCTGCAGAGTAATATATCATGTAATTAATATAGCATTTTCATACCAAAGGTGTTTCAGGCTGAAGTGGTGAATATCTGTAGACAACCGCAGGAACATTAAGGATAGGACACGTTTGGTGCAACGGCTCGATTAAATCTTCTGTTTACTGAAGCACTTGTCTACTTTTACTTTCACGCCGATTATGCTCGAATGCACTTAGTTTGATGACAATATCCTTTATGTAGTGTTACTGATGTGCGTATAATCTGATACGACGCTACGCGACTAGCCTACCCGATGCAAAAAGTTTATGCAACACTATTCCATGACATCAACAACAAAATTCATGAAATGTATTTATATTATACTCCAACATTATATGACAAAATAATTTTTTTTTTAAAAATTTTATTACAATTATGCCAATGACTAATTTGAGCATATCTACATTATTACATAGTAGACACAAATATATATATTATTACCAAGGAATTTATCTTCCCATTGTGATGTAGATATTAATAAATACCGCTAATTTTATAATGTACAACATTTCTTCATGATTAGTGTGTATAATAGTCATGCTCAAATTACTCTTAAATAGAAACAAGTCGGGTGGTGGAGACAAGAGTAGGCACTGCAAATGTCTGTGCTATCTACCAGTGTTAACGAATACAAACCATAAATGTAGTTGCAAATTTAAATGTAATAATTTTAAATGCGGTACAGAATTACTTCTTCGTTCCGAAGTACGAAAATATAAACATCCTGAAGAAAAAGGACTACAGACGCAAGATCTCTCAAAGACTACCTAAATAATAATAAAATAAATTTAAAAATAGATGTCATTAAATGAAATTTCAATTTTTGCAAATATATAAAACTGAAAGGGGCATAGAAAAGCAGTAAACAAAATAATGCATTATCAAATTAAATAGACTGTGTTTTAAATCTAAACGATTTACAATAACTGGCCAAGAGAGAATTACTTTTTCATTGTAGCGTTATACGCAAAAAGACTGGAGATTCTTCTCGCTAACCCAAACAACTCTGGCATGTGAGATGCACGATTAACTCAATTTGTACAGTTGAATGTCAAAAATGTATTATAATGAAATGGTATACACTGAATGCCATTGCATTTTAATCATATGACACGTAGGAAGCAACATGTTTTGAAAATCCATATTACAAAAATTTGTGGTTGCAAGGTACAAGCTCATCACATTACCAACCTTCACAACAAAAATTAATTATACAGTCCAGTATGACCGAGCGTTTTCATCGTGATACATCCCGCAAGTTTAACAATTTTGATACAGACACAAAATGCGGGTGACATTTTTGAAAATTCGGGAGACATCTAAGGTTTGAAAAACACTGACTGTATTAAACAATTACTTCTGACCATAAGACCACATTTATATTGTTATGAAAAAAATAAAATCTACATGAATAGATACTGAGCCTCAACCTTGCATTATGATAATGAACATAGCAAGATGTTAACAGACTTTCTGTTTATGGCCACTGGTGGAACAGTTTTAAACACTTCAAAGACTATTTTTGACTGTATAGCAAATGACAAGTGTATTTGTCGTGTAGCTTCAAGTGAAACTGACCCATACTTCAGTTCCGACACCCCCAAAGTTTGTTACGTAACTTTCCTGCTTAAATTTGGCTTCCGGTCGACAATGTTTTTAAAGTGCGTTACCACGTTACAGTGAAATAGGGTCACTTACTCTGATAATTCTGTCCTGTTCTCTGTATCAAACACAAGTATACGCACACCACGAAAGATTTTGGACTTGCAGAATGAAAACAGCCAACCACAACTATGAGTACCTATGTCACTGGTACTGACAGCCAAGATAGTCAAATACAGACATGATATTTTTCTTGATATTAAAAAAAAATATATAACATGGCAGTAGAACTGTACAGAAGATGTATGCATGTATTCAGACATAACTTGGTGCCTCTGAGCTTACGTACCCAGCACATGACTCTGAGGGACGGTTTCATGGGCTCTTCATATCCACCGTTGAACCGCCGTAATAACGAATCTCCAAACCTTACCTGTTCAATCCACCTTCTCCGGCAACTTCCTTCCACTTCAGCAAATATTGTATATGCTATTCCTAAATGTGCTAGCACTGTTAAGGCCATGCCTGGAGCATATCACGGGTGTAGCAGAGAGACAGAGGCTTCACAAAGTGTGTGTCCACAGCGCCACAGTGCAGGCACGGCAGAGGATGACTGTAGTCGGAGTAAAAGTTGAGCCTCTGGTGGGGTGGCAGGATTGGCTTGGCACAGCAGTTACACTGCGTTAAAAACAGACAACTCTATGTTATTGATTGAGTTTGGAGCCTCAAAATACTTCATGTTTATTGACCATTATGAAACAATTTCACGTAGTGTATGGAGAAAGTTACGCGATGTGTTTAAAGAGAACTGTCAATGGTTGTACACGTATATAAACTGAATGAAGAAAACCTTGACTTAAAAGTACAAAACTAACTTAACTTAGGTACTATATAACTGGTTTAATTAACATATATTGACTTAAAAGTACAAAACTAACTTAATTTAACTTAGGTATATATAACTGCTTTAATTAACATATCAATGCTTCGATGTTGTTTTATAATTTCTATATGTGTATTATAGCAAATTTTTGTAACTGATACGTTAATGCCATGTACTGTTCGCCTATGTATGAAATCCAGTTTCACCAGTGGTGGCAACTCTGTATGCGTTAAAGAACCATCGTTTTTCACAGGAGGGAAATTTCTTGACTCTATGATCGATTATTAGCTTCTCAAGAAGGGATGTACTCGGTGAAATTACGCCATGTTGTTGCTATAAGACGTAAGTTATTGATCTCATAACAGCTTAATTCTCTTCTGAAACATATTTTTCTTACGCTGAATAAAAGAACTAAAATATTTTCTTACTCTGTACCGTCTTGTGGTGCGATCAGGTATGCAACGCGGCAGAGTTTGTATATAAAATGTAAAGGCTCCATTACAGGAAAATAATGTTTTTATGATGAGTAGTAGTCGCCCTCGGTGGACTAGTTGTTAGTGTGCTCGCGGGTTCAAACCCGGCCGAGGTCGATGGATTTTTAAGGATGATAAAAATCTATAGCTCAACTTCCTTCGGAGGGGAAGTAAAGTGAGCGGTCCCATGTCGTAGATTTACGGCTTGTAAAAGAACACTTACAAGGTGTTTCGTAAGCAAAATTCAGCGGCAATTTCTCACCCATCTCTCTCTCTCCTGATTCTCTACTAGAAGGCTCTAGCAGACAAATCAGGATTTGAGTAGAAATTGTGTAGAGGCAGTGGGTTTGTCACTCACTACTCAAATGCACTCTTCAAAGACTAATAAGGACAAGTTGCCTTGAGCCTTGTAGTGGAAATGAATGAATGAATGAATGATGAGTGGTACAACAACGTGAGGAGTGCGCAGGTTTTCAAGAACAACGGCGCACGGCAATTTGTTTGAGAGCATTCATGAGATAGTGTGGTTCCAGCAAGATGGCGCCACATCACATACCGCACCAACGAGTATGAAGTTGTGGACGTGTTTGTGTACCTTTTCATCCAAAAATGAACACCTTCGTGTATTATTCTCCGATATGCATCAAAAACACTAAATAATAATAATAATAATGCATCAAGGTCTCCAAAACTCCAGTGCATCATAAACGGGCGAACTGGTCAGTATGTTACTTCTGCATTTTAACATTGTTCACTACATGGGCGTGTTTGTTCCACGCGTTACTAAGACAGACAACAACGAGCTGTGTACAATTAAAATGATCTGCCCGGCGTAATCCCTGCGACATCTGGCCGACGAGTTAGCGCGACAAAGCAGAAGGGATGCAGCCGCCACATAATCAGACTGATAAAACTAATCTTTCATAACCACGCTGCATATTCTCTTCAAAATAAACCAGCGATCAATGCTCGTCACAAACCGCATATCATCATGTTCAGACAAGCAATTGTTCAGACGCACGAGATGCCAGCCATTCTTAATAGCAATCTGCTGAAATTGGTAACGAGGAATGAATGAAAATGATAGGAAGAGTTTTAACAATGGAGAAGGAACAAACAAAAGAAACGAAAAAAAAGGAGAAGGGGAGGGTTGAAGAAAAGAATAAGGGTGGATGAAGGTACAAAGTGAACAAAAGAACGTTGTTTATACCGTTCTCTCTGTCTGTTACTACCTTCGATTTTAACATTTTCTTTCGATGCATATAGAACCCTATAAACCTAGAATACTTCATTATGGTGTCGTATTCCTTCAGTTCAGGAACATTTTTTTGGACAACTCTGTACTGACATTTGACAGAACTGAAGTCTTGCCGCGCACTTGTCAGGGAACTACATATCATACTGCCTTTTCATTTGAAACTGTTTTCACTATCCGTCAGCATAATTGATGAGTCTACTGTGGTATAAATTTAATATCGTTCTTTTAATTGGGTACGAGGCAGTTGAGCCAGTTGGCGCTACAACAAGACGTCCGCTTACAATCGCAGGATTCTTAAACCGAATTTCAAAATATCTGCTCTAGTTTTTATAGTGAGTTTTGTTCAGACAAGTTCGTTGTACTCCGTAAATCGGGCATTACATTTTCTCAATGTAATCAATAATCACTCAGCTTTATTGTGATTTCCATTATTCTCGCAGAAACTGTGTGGAATGCAGATTTTAATTTCATATCTGGGACGTCAATACGGACACGTGGAACAAATTGCAGTCCAAAAGAACTATGGGAATTAAAATGTCAGTATGTTAACATTACGAACGAAAATTAAGTATGAGTCAGTTCCTTCAATTAGGTTAGAGTTCCTGTTTTGTGGCCCCTTTGAAACTGAATATTAGAAAGGTTTTTCATAATTTTCAGCCATCACTTTTAAAATGTTTCAATTCTGACCACGCAAAATTAAGAGGAAAAAAAAAATACTGTGCTAATTATATGCACAGTGTTTAATGGAGTCACGGAACTGCAAAAACCAAGTAAGCAGCACTTTCTGAAAACAAGAAAAGTAGTGAACCCGTCATGTTGAGATTCCCATGTGATTCTCTGAGGCATTAATAATTCATTATTCAAAACTTGAACCAGAACAGAATTTGGATTCACAACTTGACTGAAAGGCACGCAAGGCGTATTTGGTTTGCCATCAATTCTTGAGCAGAGGAGTTTTCCAAGGCCAGGAATTGAAATTATTACTTGGTACCTGTTCTATTTTTAAGCGTTTCAATGCCAGAAGGAGGTCATAGGGTTGCAGAGGATCCAAGCTTTGCGGGATGGTATAAGCATAAATATTACGGGGAGATGGGAATCTTGTAATGAACCCTCCTTGTACGGCGACCACACACAGCAGCATACATTCCCACATTCACACGAACAGTTTAGTTAATGCTGCCTTATCGATCTACGTTCTAAACTTCACTTTCACTCGTCCTGCGTCGCCTTTGTTTCTTCCTACAGGCACAGTGGGGGGGGGGAGAGAAGTAGTAAATATATTTAAGCTTCCCTCGTCTCAGCCCCCAATGACAGAAACACAGCAATGTCTTGTAACACTAATAAGACAAAACATAAGTTTATACATTTCTACCCACCACGTGTCTATAGGACTACGCCCCTTCCTCTCAGCTATTATCATACCGTCACCCTTTAATTAAAGAAAATAGCCCGAAAAATAAACATTGTGGATTTTTCGCATTTTATAGGCTATATTTTTATGGAAATTGGATACCTGATTAACACTTATAAAAATACAAACAAACAACGCCTTTGTATTGGTGCGATTTCAGGTTCTCACGGCAGCGAGTATGAAGTTGGCAGATGTTGGGTCGAGTAATCTGGTAGACGTTTATCGACGATCGCCCTGATGATGGAGGCAACAGGTACCTCTTAAATGTCGATAAACTACCGGGCTACACGGTGTAACATCCCAGAAATGCAAATTAAAAATGCAAGCTAAAGTGTTACAGCTCTCCACAGTCGTAATTGTCGTCAGAAATTATTTACTGCCAGCCACTACAATAACCCGTTTGTTTTCCGAAAGAAATAATAAAATAATATACACCTTCACGCTTGTTGAACATCCTCAGTCTTGAAACACAAAAAAAATTGCACATTTAAACAAATACCTCTTCATGACCATGTACAGTTTCGTGAGATGACATTTTTTGGTGTGCGTGTCACGCGTCTTTGACAGACCAGGCAGGTGAGAAAAGGTTGCGATACACAAAGAGTATTATCTGAAGGAGCAGAATAATTCATTTCGCTCGACATAACCTTTAAGAAGTCCCATTACCAAATAAAGCTTAAACTGTACCGCTGTTTACACTTTATCGGTTTTTTTTCCCGTTTCACTGCACTACACATATTTACTAAAAATCAGTCAGGAATCCAAGGTAGATAACGCGGTGCAATGACAAAACATGGCACCCCAAACACCGTTAGTGGCTTTTTGCAATACATTTACACTATCTTGCCATTCTAACCGCAGGGGCTGAATAAAAGTTGTTTTTTTAAATGGATGTCTCCACTTGTAATTCACAATATATTTACGCATAATATATCTCTGGGTACCTAAAAGAAGATAATTTATATTGAAGAATGAGACTCTCCTACTGGGGTAATAAATGGTGCACTCGCACTGTGTCACATTTCTTGCATGACTGTACATGGGACATTGAATATAATGTCGACATGAATCTAAATAATAAATGGCAATGCGGCTTAATGGTGGGGGAGTACATTTAAAGGATCACATGAAACTTCATACACAACTGTCACGTAACATACTGACCGCAATGAGTAGATATTCCCAACAGCTCAACACGTCACACGAAATCCTGGCGTGGTGGTCTTTCAAGTTTTTTAAAGTGCAGTCGTGCTTAGCTTCTCAAGTTTTTGAGTTCTTCCCCCCACCCCCACCCCCACAATCCACCTTCACATTCCAAAAAAAACAACAACTGACAAACATACTGACCAGGTTCAAAGCAAAGTCATTCGAAGGAGAACGAGTGGAATGGTTGGAGGTAGGCGACAAGCTCTGTTCAACGTATCCTGTCATTTCTGCAACACGTGTAACTCACTTCGAGCAGCATTCCGAACCAGTGTGTCAAAGCCGAGGAGGACAAAGAACAATGTTACGAAATCGTTGCTGTCCGAGACAAGAGTAATCGAATCTCTTTCTTGAAACGAGTAATTAATTAATGTATGGACTTTTATTTATTTTATTTTCCTTTACTTTTCGACTAACAATTTATCTTCCACACGCAGCTTCACCAGTTGATTTAATCAATACGCCGTCGTCCCCTAATTTCTGTCCGACGCTCGGCTCTGCGTCAGTAAAAGCTGGGGAGATCTGACTGGCTCCAATTCCTTTCAGAGTCACAGAGCTGAGTCCGGAATAGTAGATAAGATCTGTACTTTGATGCCTGGAACGCAAAAGGTGGCTTTACACCACTGTTTCACTTGACCTTGGCATCAACTTTGGGGGGTGGGGGGGGCAAGCTGTGGACCGCGTTGCTCACTTTCGATCTCATTGTATACACTTTTACCAGCCGTATTCATTGAACAGCATCCGGACGAGCTAATTGGCCACGTCGTGACTCCGTGTACAATGCTTGAACAGAACAGAGTTTCAGCCTCCAGCCATGTACAAACTGTACAATACAAACCAAGACCTTACAATTTTCTAAATCCTAAAGTGATGTTAGCATCATAATTCCAGTTAAATCGTAGAGGTGAGTTAGTGGATCAACCCGGAATGTCTCTGAACAACACTTGTACATAAAAACAATGAACATAAACTAATTACTTAAATATGGGAGCTGAACCAAGTTCCTGAACGACAAGTAGGCCTTTCTTGAACACATTTCAGACAATGGACAATTTGATTTTATTGTAATAGCATATAATAAATGCTAGTTTTCCTGTTAATGGGCCAGTATATATGTATATATCAATTTATCCAAAATCACGACCCACAAGTCCCTAACGACAAGACAATTCTGTACATAAGGCCTGAAGCACAAAGGTACGAGACTCGTGGCGTATTGACTACTCAAGGAAATAATTTATGCCCAACATCGAAAACATCAGTCCAAAGCTTAGCCTCTCTCACATCCGAACATCACTGTTCGTAATTTCTATCCTCAACGAAACTTCTGATGGTCTTCATTACTTGATCTAAGAAGATCTAACAGGCTACTGATGGCAGTTCTTTTTTCCTTATTCTGAACAAAGCGTAATCCGTATAATGGGTTCTTCAAAATCCTATTACCGATCTGAGATGGGCCGGTTAATTCCTGCCTACGAGGACTCGGAATGCATCAGCAGCTCAATACCCTGCCCGCCCGCCCCCCGGGGGGGATATGGCGACCTGTATTTCTCCTCTACTGCCATAATCCCAACAGATGAAACTGAAAATCTAGTCGTGTCAGTATTAGCACTATAGGGTTTAAGTGGCATGAAAGAAAGTCACGATAAAAGGAGTAAAAAGCACACGTAACTCTCGTCATCTGCGTTTTCATGAGCAGAATCCACTGCCAAAATCCAGGCGTATCAGATAATGTGATTCAGATAATAAGATTAGCATTCTGGCGCAAGTTTAACATAAAAATGGCGTTACGCGTTTTGCGATGTGCGTTGCGATTTGCTGAAACACAAACAACCCCCCCTCCCCTCCCCTCGTATAACAAGAATCACATTTAATAACAAAATACAGAATAAATGCGGTAATAAAATGAACGCGAACAATAATTCTTAAAAAAAATACTAAAACAAAAATTGTTCTAGACAATGGCACGACAAATTCTTTCCCATACATAACAATAAGTTTGGACAACAACATAAATTAAATGTGACGAAACGTCGAAACGCGTTTCCTGATATCAGCATCGCCAGTATATATACAAAATCAAAACGAATGATAAGCAACAGAAAGTTCAGAAAATATTATTACAGAACGTTTTTAATTACATTCCACGAAGAGGAAGAAGGGCTTTTGCAAAAACCTTTTGGCTTAATGATCACGAGGCACTGGAGTGTAAAAAATCCCAAGATAAACATTGGGGGGGGGGGGGGCGGAGGAGGAAACTTTCCTACTTTGTTTCTGAAAGTCGTGCGTGCTAAAACGTATTCATACGAATTCCCTTAATATTTCACTGTTCCTGGTTATCAAAGCACGCGAACGTGTCTGTCTTACCTTGGATCTCTCAGGGCAGCAATGCATGGCGGCGAAAATGTCGTAGGAGTACATGGTACCGAGTACCAGTGACGACCCGTCCCAGGGAGTGCTGCAGTGTACACAGAGGAGCCTGCGTCTTGGGCCCCAGCCCTCCAAGCACGCCATGCAGACGGCTGACAGGAACTGCGTTCGCCCTTCAAGCTTGACCTGCACAAACACACAATGATTTACCATTAAAACTCACGTGTATTCCGCCACAAGTACACGTGAACCGTACCTCACGCGAGTTAACACTTCGCAGCACGAAACTCATCTAAATAATATTTAAAAATTCAATCCGTACCTCAAAGAAAACACACTTCACCAATACAGTGATCTACTGGTTAATGCTGTTTGATGAAACATAAAAAAACCATAAATACAATTCATGGGCAAAACGCGGGATTATCTCCGTGGCTAGAGGGATAAACTATAATTCTGTTTCAAGCTCGTCTCTCACGTGAGGTAAACTGTGATTTGATATGTCCCAATGATTGGAAAGAAAATTAGTATGTATGAGTTAAAATATTACAACCTAAGTTTGACTGATGCTTCACGTCCTGTATTTCATATAACGCCCTAGATGCAATTTAGCAAATCTAGTACATCATCCTGAACTTCACTGAACGTCTAAATTGTATAACCTATTTGTACAGATTAAAAAAATCAGTAAGTGTGACTTGTGAGGACGTTCCTAAAACTTTTTCGACCTATAAACTTTCACTGGTGCTGGTAAATTTTGTATCACAAAGACAACAAAAGGGGAGAGTTACAGTTTTGTATTAAACGAATGCAATAGGAAATTTTGTAATTTTTTGAGGGCTATGGTAATTCTGAATACATTATTTCAGAATAAATGACAAATTTTACCTCGAATGTGAAATAAATGGCTTCCAGCTTATTTATTTTTTACTATTATCCTACGCTGAGTGTTGTGATACAATTCAATTAGTTCACAAGTGTAAATAAATAACCCTAGATGAGTAAGAACGGAGATAAATGGTAATTTAGAGCAAAACAATCTTGTCTAACTTGAGGTATGCCTAAATGACAAGAGCGTTTCTGACTACACAGTCTTAGTAGTTAGCTCATTTCAAATAAATTCAATTTTAATTTAGTGAACTCCTGTCACGTGTCAAATCGACAACTGCGTCTCGATACGATAAAACAGTAGAAGTGCACGAGATGATATTTTAGGTTCTCACGGCTCCGATCTTCTAAGTTGTTGCGCTGTGTAGTCTGGTCGAAGTTTACCGACGTTTCGGAGGCACTGCCTCCACTCATCATCCTGATGAAGGAGGGAGCACCTATGAAACGTTGACAGACTTGTATTAAACTGCACAGCGCGAAAATCCCAGAAGACAGTGCTTATTCCTGTCTCTGCCGGGAGTCGAAGCATGGTCACCCAGTCCGTAGCGAGTAGTTTATTTTAGATGAACCGGCTCAGATAATAATAAAAATAATTATTGGTAATGTCATTATAATCGCCACTGCCACTGCGGTTCTATAAAACGAAATGACAAGACCAGGGATTTACCACACCCCTATTACGGTTTTATATGAACACGAGTCCAGTATTGTTAATTTACATTCCCATCAATGCTTCAACCATACGCAGAGTAGAACAACGAAGGTTTTGCAATTATTATGGATTGTATTTCACAGTAATCACGTTTATAATAATAACATGATCAAATTAGAATGGTTACAAGCAATACCCCTCTCGTAACTTCGCACCATCAAAATGTGGTCCTATTTCGTGCATCGCATCTGGTACGTATTACTGTATGCGTGGGGGGGGGGGGGGGGGGTCCGGTTTCTTAGTAGGATTTGAGGTTTCTCTTGGCGCAAGCAGAAGGAAGTTATACAAGCGAAGGGTGGACGAAAACGCTAAAAATCGTGTTCATCAGTGCAAAGATTTTAAAGTAGACGTCATAAAATGGTGCAAAACGTAGGCCCACGTATATGGGAATAATATTAAATTGGTGTGGGGATATAAATTTTGTGAGCATTTCAGCACATCAAACTTCTTAATTTAATGTCATTAACGAACCAATTTAACTTCATAGCGGACATTTTGAATTTAGAGTAAAGAACCAAGCAACGGAACACAGCAAGCCTACTATTTTCCAGACAAGGATAATTCATAGTAAGTAAAAACTGTTTCGTCTGCAAGAGACGTTGGTTAGTCCGTTTCTTGCACGAAACCACGGACGAAACAGAACAATGACCGAAGAGAGTACTATAAATGTTTACTTACTTTCGCTGTGGTGGAAAAGATGACAAATGTAAACTATGGAGAGAGTTGGGGGGTGGGGGGAGAGATGAAGATCAAAAGCTACAAACACAAACAAACTCCAACAGGCAGAGAGTCTCAAAGTTTCCAATTAAGAAGACGCAAAAACGTAGAAGCAAGAAGCAGCAGGAGCACACAGTCAGTACTTTCCGTTCAAACATTGAATTGCTCTATGTCTTTCAGCCCCCGCCTTCCACCCCTCCCCCAACCCCCATATATAACGTCGCCGTTTCAACCATCCAGCAGTGGAGTTCCGCGTCTCTGAACACAGATCCTACTGCAAATTCTATCGTTTCATCCTCGGAATCAAAACAAGTTAGGCCAAACATCACACCGAGAAGCAGGGCGAAGTCCCCTGGGTAAGAACCCTCGAAGTAAGAAGCAGGAGCAATACTAGTGCGCACTGGTTTCTACGGCAAAGTGAAGGATTTCTTCCACGAGCTGCCATCTTCGAAACAGTCTTCTAGACACTCCACGCCTCACTGCTTTAAGTTAAATAAAAAATCATAATAGTAGTTGAATGTATACAGCGTAGTGGCATTTACATAGACCACCTGAGAGCAGTAGTGGTATTTAAAAGGAACCGCAAAGGGTTAAGCCAGCAAATTGATTCAAGAAAATATACAGATGTAACAAATAAAATATATTAATTCCCATGTCTACTTCCATCTTCACTTAAGCCATTGCTCTATAAAGTTGCCAACCACCTACAGGACAACATCCTGTCGCAACACAGAAGGACCAAATACATCCTCATAACGCAATCCTGTAAGACCAAATAAATACCTAACTATAGAGATTCTTACTTTAGTAGCATACCTATGTTGGGACACCTGCAATTTATGAGCCACGTAGTAGTCTACCAAAGTCAAAACAAAGATCGGACTTCGAAAACTAGGCGTGTAATTTCCACAAAGACACGACGTAAAAGAAACCTGACGCCGTACGGAAGCCAGCTGTCGGTCGCAACAGTCATGCAGGTAGAGTGATGGATAATGGCGACAGCCATGCAGGAAGTACTCAATGCCCACATGACGACGTCTTTGTTATTTCTTTTGAAATTCCGTTTTTAGTTCCGGCAACAGTAGGCTAGTACGAGGAAGTTTTTGTTCGCCAATAGAGTCGGTCGGCCAGTCTGACGCTCATGTGTTTATGCATGTCTGCAGCACAAGGTCAACTCCAACCCAGAACCACTTTCGCTCTCCGAATTGCAGTATGAACAGCTGGCTGCAAAAACGCAATATAAATAATTGTGCGTGGCTGGTTCGTTAGCGTTCTTTGCGCAAAGAGTTTTATCTCCGAAAATACCAAACGCATTTCTATAAAATTTCGTATCAAAGGTTCAGTCAGTACAGACTACTAACTTCACGACTGGTGTTCGACTCCTGGTAGGGGCGTCAACCCTAGCTCTGAGGCCCATCCAGCCTGAGGGCTGTTTCCGTGGAGATAAAGCGGCCGAGGCGTGAAGCTGACCACTTACAGCCATCTAGTGCCGAGGTTATGCTACACATCCACTCATCATTATGCCGATGTGGTTTGGCTCTCAGATCATCTGCTCTGTAATTGGCGTCTTTAAATTAAAAGAAAATTCATATTCGTTCAAAGAATTTATATATAACAAATAATACTCAAAACGCATACTTACTTCGAAAAAGAAGACAGTACAGGTATATTTTCACAAATATGTGGTCACAGTGAAAAGCAATTTGTGAAAGTGGTTATGTCATCGTAACTGAATTTCGTAATTCACAAATCTGACGAAGGGTGTCGAACCAAGTGCCCAACGTGGACACACAAATACAAGGCGCTGATAACAAAGGCCCCATGTACGACGCTTTCAAAGAACAATCCGACTTCCCGCCAAAACAGCGCAAATGTATTCTACACTTTTACACATCCTTTGGTGCTCATTTTTACCCACTGATACAATACGGAAATATGGAAATAATATACTATTACCCTTTCAGGAAAATCTTTAAAAAGAACCCCATCCGATGTCTGTGGCCGCGCCCCACGGCAACGGTGGGTTCTCTTCCGGTCACTTGTTATAGTATTTCCCGTTAGAAGGGACAGATGCTGTGTGAATTTCCGTCAGGTGCTTAATTATTTAAATCCGCCACAGCTGTGGTGCATGAGATAAGTGCAAAAGTAGGTCACTAGGTTTAACCGGATGTACAGAACAAAACATTGACCAAGAATCTGCAGAATATTCATTTTAGAAGAAAGTGGGGATCATTCCATAATTTATTTTTGTAATGACTGATCTGGTGTTTGAATCTATTGTGGCCG